GGGCGGTTCTGCGGTTGGCGACCCTGCGTCTGGAGGTGCCGGTTCTGGGGGTGCTCCTCCTGGGGACACTGGAGCTTCTGGAGGTGCTGGAGCTGCTGGAGACACTGGAGCTGCTGGAGGTACTGGAGCTGCTGGAGACACTGGAGCTGCTGGAGGTGCTGGAGCTACTGGAGGTGCTGGAGCTGCTGGAGACGCTGGAGCTGCTAGAGGTGCTGGCGCTGCTGGAGACGCTGGTGCTGCTGGAGCTGCTGGAGGTGCTGGAGCTGCTGGAGGTGCTGGAGCGACCGGTGCTGACGTAGCCGCGCCGCCTCGCCTGTTCTTCGCTCCACCGTCTCCGTCGTCTCTACCGCCGCCTGACTCTGTTCTCCGTCAGGTTCTTACTCTCCCGTCGTCCACGGGTCTTCCGTTACCTGCTGGCTCACCACTCCCTGCTCCTTCCCCTTACACTGAGCAGGCTGGTGGTCTTGCTGAGCGTCGTGCGCCTGCGTCGCGTCCTGTCTCGCCCGTTCGGTCTGGTCGTCCCAGTCGTACCGGTCGTTGTGTTTCTTGTACGCGTCAGCCGCCTGTACCTAGCGCGCACCTTGTTGTCCGTCGTCCCTCCTTTGCTCCGCCGTCCGCTCCTCTGCCTTCCCCACCTGCGTCCTCACTGCCTGCGGTTCCCGACCCAGCGTCTGACCCGTTTCGTGCTGAGCACCCTACTGTCACGCGTCTGTTAGCTACTGTTGTCACTGACCCGTCGTTCGAGTCCACTGCTGCGTCTGCCTTGGTTGCTGAGCTTGTTGACTTTGCTGCTGTCTGTCGTCTCGACTACGCCACTAGCCTTGTTGCTGCGTCTGAGTCTGTCTGTCCTCCGTCTGTCGGGGGTGAGTGTGCTCTTGGCACGGACGTCCTTGAGGACAGACAGGAGGAGTTCCAGTGTCTTGCTGCTGCTGTACCCCATCTCGTGGCCATGCTGCTTGCCCCTGAGGGAGACCCGGATGCACCAGACATCCCGACTCCGCGCTCTTACGCGGAGGCGATAGAGGGTCCCTACTCCTCTCAGTGGCAGGCAGCCATGGACGCAGAGATGGCTTCCTGGAAGTCCACAGGCACCTATGTTGACGAGGTTCCCCCTCCTGGGGCGAACATCGTCAGTGGCATGTGGATTTACAGGGTGAAGCGGCCACCGGGTTCTCCTCCTGTCTTCAAGGCGCGTTACGTGGCTCGCGGCTTCAGTCAGCGGCAGGGAGTTGACTACTTTCAGACCTTCTCCTCCACCCCGAAGATGACCACTCTTCGGGTGCTACTGCACATAGCTGCTCACCGTGACTACGAGCTTCACTCTCTTGACTTCAGCACAGCTTTCCTACAGGGCAGCCTGCACGAGGAGATCTGGCTGCGCCGCCCACCTGGCTTCACTGGGACGTTTCCTCCTGGCACCCAGTGGAGCCTCCGGCGGCCGGTCTACGGTCTCCGCCAGGCGCCGCGTGAGTGGCACGACACACTGAGGACTACACTTGCGGCTCTTGGGTTTGCTCCTTCTACTGCCGACCCGTCGCTATTTCTGCGCACTGACACCTCTTTGCCGCCGTTCTACATCCTCGTGTACGTCGACGACTTGGTCTTTGCTACAGCTGACACTGCTGGACTCGCCCACGTGAAGTCCGAGCTGCAGAAGCGACACACGTGCACAGACCTGGGTGAACTGCGCAGCTACCTTGGCTTGCAGATCACCCGGGACAGAGCACGACGACTGTCTCAGTCACACATGGTGCAGCACAGTCCTTCAGCACTTCACGTACTCCTCGCCTCAGGCCACACACTGTCTCAGTCACACATGGTGCAGCAGGTCCTTCAGCGTTTCGACTTCACGTACTCCTCGCCTCAGGCCACTCCTCTGTCTACTCGTCACTCGCTCTCAGCTCTGCCTTCGGATGAGTCCGTAGAGCCGAGTGGCCCGTACCCAGAGCTTGTTGGCTGCCTCATGTACCTGATGACATGCACACGACCTGACCTTGCATACCCTCTTAGCATCCTGGCACGCTATGTTGCTCCTGGGAGACACCGACCAGAGCACATGGCTGCAGCGAAGAGGGTGTTGCGCTACTTGTGCAGTACGTCAGGCATGGGGCTAGTGCTTGGAGGGCAGAGTCCAGTGGTCCTCACTGGTCACGCAGACGCTTCTTGGGTTGACGACCTGGCTACTCAGCGGTCGTCACAGGGTTACACTTTCAGCCTTGGTTCCGGCTCTGTTTCGTGGCGGTCTACCCGCTCGTCGTCTGTTCTCAGCTCTAGCTGTGAGGCTGAGATCTACGCAGGAGCCATGGCTGCACAGGAGTTACGCTGGCTTACCTACCTGCTGACTGACCTGGGAGAGCCGCCTCGTTCTCCTCCAGTTCTGTACGTAGACAACAAGGCAATGCTGGCCTTGTGTCGGGAGCACAGACTGGAGCACAGAACGAAGCACATTGCTCTCCGCTACTTTCTTGCACGTGAGTTGCAGCAGCGTGGTCAGCTGCGCCTTGCTTACGTGGCCACTCGGGCCAACACTGCTGATATCTTCACCAAGGCACTTCCGCCTGGTGATCATCAGCGCTTCTGTACGATGCTAGGTCTTGTGCCCACTTGGCCTCACTTGCTCACTTCTTGACCTTGCTTGTACTGCATTTTCTATATACATGCTCTTGCTTGTTTGTCTTTATATATAATCATGCATGTGAACTGGCCTTGTGGCCTTGACCTTGTACTCAGATTTGTGGTGACGTTGTGATCCACTCTGAGCTTGCTTGCTTGACTGGTCTTGTGGCCTCTAGGTCTTCCCCACTTTGCCTATGGGGGTGTGTCAAACATATGTTATATTGTTTATATCTAGGCTGTAGTGGGTTAGATACTAGAGGGTATAGGGTTGTTTCTTGTACCTCTCGAACTTCTCCTAGTGCAACTTTTCTCTCGACTCTCACAAGCTACCTCCTATCAATCATTCGTCAAGCTACCAATCCTAATAGTTGTGCGCGAACCCACATTGTACCACTTGTGTCCTCCTGTGTAAGCGGCGGCCTTGATGTCCATCGGTGTTGGGGCGGGGGGTGGGAGAGTTGCATGAGCCGTTTGAAAAATGAGAGACGTGGGTGGAGGGAAATGAACTCCAACCCCCGTTTTGTAGTTGGAGAAGAGCGTTTAGCGCGCTTCGACGATGTCAAATTCGCGTTACAGTCAACTGCGCTTTCGAAATAGCAAGCTTTCTAAATCAACAACGTAGATTGAACAAATGGACACAAACCCTGAGAGCATCCCTTGTGGCAGGAAATGTCATCATTTGGCATGGTAGCATGACATGAATATTGTTTTGGTAGAACCTTAACTAACAGCAAAGCTGAGCATCCATAAGTATAGCAACTTAAGTTAATTATAACATTAGCATTAGAGGCGTCTAATGCAACAGATATCCCTGTAATTAGCGAGCAAAACAAGGCCAACTATCCATGCTCAAATGCCCAGTCAGTAAACTACCGGTACCCTTCCAAATTTCAAAATCGTTTGATGTCACTTACCTACCCTATAAAGCATCCACAATTTCCCCAAGTACTGGAAAGACAGGGCAAATAAAACATTGACATCACAAAAATAGAAAAACCCATCCTTTCCCCTCCCCCCCCCCCCCTCCTACCCACACCCACCCCATGCCAGTTGTTCCCAGGCTCTTACCACCCACAGGCAAGCCCCCCTCCCACTCTACGTTCCTCTCCCTCTTCCTCTCCCTCTCCCTCCCACATTCCATATACCGGCACCTTTTCCTTTCCTTCTCTTACCCACCCAGCATGTCTCTCCCCCACCCCACCCTCTATCTCTCCTCCCCTCTCCTCTTACTGCTCCACCTTGGTCTTCCTTTCACTTCCTTCCACGCTTGAAACCCCCCTGCAAGCTCCCCTCTCCCCTTTCCTCACGACAAACCCCCGGATCAACTACCGGTAACCCCGCACATGCCTCCGCTGCCGAGTTAACCCCCTACGCATTCTAAACACCACACCACCGCGCTGCACCCCATCCCCTGGTAAATCCTGTGCCCAACCAACCATGCACCATACACCCAAACATCCACCACCCCTGCCATACACACTCCTACCCACCTTTTCTTCCACGCTATACCCACCTTGCAACCCCATGACTCCCCTCGTCATATACTGTCAAGCAACCTCTATTCTTGAGGCACAACAAAAGTAGACCTTGCAACCCCATACGCCTCGTCATACATGGTGAAGCAACATCCATGTATGCAGAGTGCACCCTAACCGATCCCACATCTCCAGCAACCCTCTGTGCTCGCAAGCAACCCTCTGTCCTCTCGCGCAAACCCTCTGTCCTCTCGCGCAACCATCCGTATGCCAAAGGCCCATCAGCATAAATAGAGCCAACTAGCTGCCAACCCTGCAGCACTGCTCATCTCGTCTCACCTTCACTCATCTCATCTCAATCCATAGAATCGACCCCTCCTTCCCCCTCATCCCCCCCTCTTCCTTTCAAAGCAAACACACTCTTTCGTGCCACGTCTTCTCTCCTCTCCTGCTTCTCCTCTCCTCCGCCCCGCTCCTCTTCTCTCTTGTCTCCTCCTTCGCCTCTCCCTTCTACACCTGTTCTACCACTTGTTCAACCATGTCTTGCTGTCTTCACGTCGTCCTCTTCTTCCCTTAGCTGCTGCCTCAACTGCTGCTGTGTGATGTTGTAACGAGCTTTGAAAGTCAGCCTCTTCACCTCGCTGCTGCTTTAGCTGCTACCACCCTAATGCCTTTCTCCTGAACCTGAATCCAGTACATGTATATCCTATAACGGTAAATCACCCAACACACCCTGCTTCCAGGGGGCTCACGATTTGTTCTTCCTTTCCCTCCGCTCCTCTCCCACACCCGTATCCATACTCTTCCCTCACCCCATTTCCCTCACCCCATACCCCTTCCTTTCCCGCACACAGGCAAATTACAACAACTAACTACTCCCTCGTTCCCCTCGCACAAACGATTGCCAGGTCAATTCACCTCTCCTCCTCCTCCTACCTCTACAACCATTCCAAACCACAACCGCAACCTTACCTTCCCCCCATCTTTCGTTTACCAACTTCGAGCCTCTCTCCCTACCCTCCCCGCGTCCCCCTTCACTCGTCACTCCCACCCACCCCACCCCCACTCCACCACCACCACTGCTACTACCCCCGCCACCCCTCCTCCCTGCTCCGCCCCTCCTCCCCCTCCCCCCCTCCCCCTCCCCCCCCCCCCCCCTCCCCCTGCCCCTCCCCTGCCCCCTCCCCCTGCCCCTCCCCCCCTCCCCGCTCCCCCTCCCGCTCCCCCTCCCCCTCCCCGCTCCCGCTCCCGCTCCCCCCCCCTCTCCCCGAGCCTCTCCCTGCAGCTGCTCCACCTTGGCCAGCAGCTGCACATTATGCTTCTCCAGCGCGCGGCACCTTTGCCTCAGCGAGTGAATATACGCCACCGCGTCCTCAATCATGCTCGCCGTGTCCAGCCTCCCTTCCGCTTTTGGCATCGCGTCCTTCAGCTGCTGCAACCTTACAGAGATTTTCTCCCGTCGCTTCCTCTCAGCCACGCTCCGGGGCTTGGTGGAGTGCCGCTGCCGGTGCGGGTTTAGCATGCGCGCCTCTTCTAGCATCGCGTCTGCTCCGTCCACCCCTAGAAGCTCTGGGGGAGTGAACATGCCGGCTTCCATGTCCCCATACGCGTTCCCCACGTCTTCGTTATCCGAGTAGTCTTCGTCTTGTAGCCCCATCATTCCTCCCCCTCCTCCCCGCCTCCCCCCTCCTCCCTCCCCTCCCCCCTCCTCCTCCTCCTCCTCCTCCTCCTCCGCCCCCTCCGCCCTCCCCACCTTCCCCCCCTCCTCCCCTGCGTAAGCCCAGCTCGCCCCCGCGCCTCCGCCTCCTGCCCCGCTCCCCCCGCTCAACCCAGACCCCCGCCTCCCAGCTTCCCCCGTGCATTCCCCCCGCGCGCCATTACCCCCGCTCCTCCCCCACCAGAGCCTCCCTTCCCCCCAACCCCCGGAAACAATCCTGCTTGCGCCCATCCCCATGCCACTGGCGGAAGCCGCCACAGCCACGCTCATACGCTCAGTATCCGGGGAGGAGAGGCGCACGGGGAAACAGCAGCCCGCCCCCGCCTCCCCCCATCCCATTTACCCCCTCCCCCCCGCCAGGGAACCCCCCTGCGTTGCCCCCAGACCCTGCCGCAGCAGCAGCAGCCGCCACAATTGCAGCCGCAGCAGCGTTAGGCGAACCGCCACTCACAAACGGACGGAAATTTCCCATTGCTAGCCGCGCCATTTCCCCGGTCAGCCCGGAACCTGCCCGGTGTTCACAAGTTTCAGATTCCTGCCCGGACTCAGCTGCCCCTCTGCCCGTGGACTCTTATTCGCAGGGGCATTCAGCCATTTACCCGCCCGCCTCCTAGCGACCCGGCAAGGCTGCTTTCCGGTTCGCGTTTTCCCTTAGGACTAGGATTAGTCTGTGCAGAGCCTATAGAGCCACTATTAGGGGGGTACCCAGGCAAATCGGGCAGGCCTCGGCGGGACCTAAGTGAACCTCCCCCCAGCCCTCCGCCCAGCCCTCCCCCTGCGCCTACACTAGCCTCCCCCGCCCTGTGTCCCCCGCTGGTTCCCCCGCCCACCCCCCCAGAAGCATGGCGGCGGCCTCTGAGAAATCACCTGCGCCGCCGCCTGGGACATTCCCACCTGCCATTCCGCCACCTGCCATGCTACCACTGCCACCTGACACGCTAGCGCCGGCGCGGGGGATGAGATACGAACCGGGGAAACGGACGTGTAATGCTGCCCGTGCTGCCCGTGATGGGACGCCATGCGAAGACCAGACAGCGGGCTGTTGCTGCGGCTGCTGTTGCCGCTGCTGATCCCATCAAACTGCAGCGCCGCGGAGCCCAGGGAAAGCGCGCGCCGGTGGTGCGACCCGCCTGCCCCTCCTGCCGCGGCGCCCTGCTGCTGCGGCGGCGGCGGCGGCGGCGGCGGCCCCTCCCCCGGGTAAGTGCCGCGGGGGCCTCTCATGTGCCCGCCTAGGTTACTAGCGCCTGTGAGACGCGCGGGATGAGCTAGAGGTGAAGAGACCTGGTGCTCCCGCTGCTGCTGCTGCTGCTGCTGCTGCCCCTGCGCCGGGTTTAAGGCCCATTCCCCCTCCGCCTATCCCGCCCGCGCCTAATCCGCCCGCGCCGTTTCCTTCCCCTTCCATGACTCTCTCTAGCGCCAGGGCGATTTGCGCGGGGGGTATCCAGTTGGGCGGGTGCGGCGGCTTTTGCAGCTGCGCTTGCTGCGCGTGCTGCTGCTGTTGCTGCTGAAGGTGCATCTGCAGTTGCTGCTGCAGCTGTTGCTGCAACTGCTGCTGCAGCTGCTGCTGTAGCTTCTCCTTCTCCTGCTGCAACCGCTGCTGCTGAAGCATCTGTTGCAACATCCAGTTTGTTCCCCCAACTCCCCCACCCCCCCTCCTCCCCCCCCTCCCCCGCCTCCCGCTGCTGCCGCCGCCGCAAGCACAGCAGCCATCCCCCCTGCGCCTCCCTCCCCCGTTTCCCCCGAGAGTGCCGCCAATTGCGCTATCGGGTCTATAGGCCCCAAGCCGCTGCCCATCTGTCCTAATCCTTCCGTCTCCCCCACCACCCCCGCCTCCCCCGCCCCCCCCTCCGCCCATATCCCCGCCTCCGGACGCCCCTCCGCGATCCCTCTGGAGCAGCTCCATAATCATCTTAGCGTCTATCGCGCCCTGCTGTAACGCGGACATTCCGGAAAGCCCCGCGAGCCCCTGATCCCGCCGCGCCGCCCGCTGGTTCCATCCCCTGACCTCCCATGCCGGCCGCGGACGCAGCGCCAGCAGATGGCGGAACATTCGACGCCAAACCCGCCGCCTGCCCTCCCCCTCCTGCCCCCCACCCCTCTGTTCCCCCTGCACTGAACCCCCCGACTCCCCCCCGCCCCCGCCCGCGCCCCCGCTCTTCCACCCGCCGCCATCTTCCCCCGATTGTTCCCCCAGCCCCCCAGAGCTAGCGCCAGCGCCGTCAGCCCCCCCTCCTCCCCCCAACCTCCCCATGCCCCCGCTCCCCCGATCACCCTCCCCCACTCCCCATATCCACATTCCCCCCCAGCATATCCCACAACTCGCTCGCTTGCTCAAGCTCCCGCTGCTGCCTTCCAGGGCTAATCATCGACGGGTGATTCGGCGAAATGTGCGACGTAGGCGAAATGTTCGAGTTGGGCGAAATGTTAAGGCCGGAGAGGGGGATAAAGCGCCCTGAAAAAGCGCGTCCGCGGAAAGCCCCCCTACCCCTGAACCCTGCGCCTGCAGCTGCAGCTGCTGCCCAAACTGCTGCAGCTGGGCGGCGGAAAAAGCGCCCTGCAGTTCCGCCGAATCTAGCGCGGGGGAGGTCTTGGGGGAAGTCAGTCCGCCTCCGCCTCCGCCTGTGTTTGCGCCTCCGCCTGGCCCGCCTCCGCCGCTTCCCCCCCCGCCTCCCGAGTTGCTTGCGCTGACTGTTGCCATGGCGACGCTATCGCACGAGTCCGCTTGCATGCTCATCGTCGCTCGCTTTTCGACGAAACGTGTCCGCTTGCATGCTCATCGTGCTCGCTTTTCGACGAAACGTGGGAGATCGGCGAAGCGTCGCGAGAGTTCGCGAAAGTGACTAACGAAAAAAAAAGTCCAATTGCGAAAGAATGGACGCGATCAGTAACCGAAATACGATTTTGATGGAAGGGGAAACGTGCAGCAAGCAACAGATCAAGTAAGGTTACGCATTGGGAGAGTCTTAGTCTTCCTAGGAGATTCAGTCGATTATTGGAGGGATATTTAACGGATTGTGGATGTTAATTAGTGCGGTAAAATGCGGAAAAGGAAGCACTCGCGTAAGGCGAGTGTAGAATATATATTAGGACGACAGGCACGAAGGGATAAACCCTACACGGAAAGAGCCTGTATCCGATTACTTGCTACGGCTGTTACTCTCGCCCGTGCGGTAGTTCTCCAAAAAGAACGAGAAAGAGGAGTAGAACGAAGGAAGAACGAAAGAAAAAATCCGAGCAGCACCAAACGGAGTGCTAGGTAGACGCGGAACGGAAGGGGATGCTAGGCAGGAGACGGATGGCAAAGGTGACAGGATGGATGGCCGGCAAGGGAGACGTATTTGAGGTGGCGGGTCTACAGAGGTTAAGGAGCCATGGCTGAAAATTAAAGGGGAAAGGGAGGTTTTCTAAGGATATCTCAACGAAGGTGTTTGGCTAGGAGGCCAGACGGGGAGCAGTATAAGAGTCTGTGTGTTGATAGTGGTCAAACGGATCTGCATTGGAGAACGAATGAGAGGAGAAGGGAGGGGGCGTGAGGGGCGAGAATGGGGGAATGGATAGGGGTGCGTGGGAGAGGAGGGGTGGGGAGAGGGGAGAGATGAGCGGGAAGAAGAGGAAACGAAAATGCCGCGCGAGAAGAGAGGGAGGGAAAGATTATTACACGAGAGGCACGAACAATAGGCGCGAAACGGTAAGCTGTACTTGACCTAAAATGCTGTAGGGAAGGGACTACTAAGAGCGTTACAAGCTCGAAGTTACAATCATCTGAACGAGCTGCGGGAATTTATAACGAGTAGCTAGAAGGAGATGAAAAAAAAGTAATAATAAATAGAGTTTTCGGGTGGGTAGCACGCTAAAATGTGGACAATGGGGCTTCCCCGATTCATCCCCATTGGAAAAAACTGACGTAACTTCTACTCAATGGCGAAGGCTCTATCAAGGCACGCAACGATCCCGGCTGCTTCGCGAAGAAACTCACCTCGAACTCCAGCCGGCGACGAGCCGAGTCGAGCTGAGCTGCATCTCCAACGAGAGGACTACTTATGAAAATCGGCAAAGCCGTTGCTTTCAATTGAGAGACTGTCAGACGACTGAACACACGAAGAATAAATAGACCTACTCAACCCCTTTTACACAACCGCCTGACAAACATCAAAGTCGTAGAAGTACTTCAAGGTCTAAACATTTCGCAAAGCTTCTTCCTTGCACGCCAAGCGCGATTCCGTTGACCGCATTCGTCGCTGACAGCTCAAGCAGGGATTGTATGAGGGGGTTCAGCATAGACTGGGATTAGGTAGTGAGAAGGGGGACTGGAGGGAGGTGAGGGTTTGATATTGAACACAAGGTGCCAGAGCGTGTTCGATGGGTTCACAAGGCCATATAGTTTCCATCAAATTACGACTCCATGTCCCTTTGCACTGCCCGTAAGCCCAGATAGGTGACCCTCTCTTTTGTAACCCACGAAATAATGGAGAGGAGCTTCGAATCGAACTACTACTGTGTTGGGTACCTTATTTGGCTGCTAGTACCTTAAGTGTGCTCAGTAAGTACTGTATCGACGAGGAGATTCGGAATGCAAGACCAGACATTTGGCACGAGCTCGCCGGATTTCCCCTTGAAAATTTTTGCTTGTGTTTGTGTAGGTACAGTTGTTAGACACCTGGTACACTAGAATACGCAAAGCGGCCAATGTGAAAAGGTGACGGTGGTGTGGTGTGCTGACATGACAACCCTACACCGTCTTCCGTCGCGATTTGCCACCCGAGGCCCAACTTTCCAGCCCTCCGTTGGGTTGTACATCCTGTTCTCGATTATTTCACAGGGGTTAATCGCACACCTTGAGGTATTTACCCTATGTTCATCATTTTCGTAGGGTAGTTTCTTGCGGAAGAGGATCCGACGTACTCGCGAACTGTAGGCCCGAACACAACCATCAAGTGCGAGTTTATTTCTTGGATTCCATCAATTTCGTTTTTTACTAATAGTCCCTCAATTTCTGGGTGTCCGTCGCATCAAGTCAAAGATCGTGAAGGGTACCCAGGAAAAAAAGGAGTAGGGGGTGTGCAATTATCGAGAACAGGGTGTAGATTTCGGCGTGGGCATACAACACTGCACATGAAATACTTGTGGAGGGGTATGGCAGCAAGTCCCTTGAAAAAAGCTGGCGGAGTGACTCAAGCGTCCATATGTTAGAGGGTTTCACAGCAACAAGCCGAGCCGAATTCGCTGATTTG